AATTAAGGGTAAATATACTTAAGAGACTTTTGCATATTTCTAAATTGTTTTTCCAGTGTAGATTTGTTTCACCCTTAAAAAGGAAAAAGAAAAATTTTTAGTTTTTCACATTCATATTTTCAAATTTAAGTTTCTTTTTCATATCGAGTTTCAGAAATTGCCTTTTGCAGATCACATTCTCTTCTCTCCAAAACAAACATTTGATTTTGACCAATAAAAATGTTGCTAACGTCCGTCTCCACCAATAGAAATGAGTTTTTGCTCCTCACTCCAGAGGAAAAAGTGATCTGGAAAACGCAATTAGAAAAGAATGCAATCCTCAACATTCAATCTGAAGAACAGAATTTTGAAAAATTACATTAGAAAGTATAAAATTTGGAAATGTATATAAATATGATAAAATCTTTGAATCAACCCCAGCAAAAATACACTAAAAGGCCTTTTTTTGATGCATTTTTTAAATGCAAGTTTCATTTCTAATTTTTGTCAAATTTCCATTTACTAAATGTGTTTTTTCAAAGGAGTGAAATAAACCCTTCTGTTCTGCATATCTAGAGAAACAGGAAGTCAATTTTTAAATTAAAGTTTAATAGTTTAGCCTGAAAAGGAAAGTGTAAAAAAAAAAGTTTTAACTACATTAATTTGAAGACGTAAATGTGGTACAGCTGATCCTTCAAAACCAGAGGAAACATGATTTTAGTTTTTACAGAAACATACAGACACGAAACAAAGTGTATTTCTTTATTTGCAGTAGATTTTCTTTCCATTTTTTAGAGGCGTCATCACGAGATCCCAGTGCATGAATTCTTTTAGTGCACCTTTTCACTGGTTACGGTCCGGACGCACAGATCCAGGAGTTCTTCAAACTAGTAGCATGGCTGGATTCACTGGCAGACATTACAAACCAGCACCGTAGTATAATAGAACAACTTCTCCTAGATATTTACTCATTTTTTTGTGCATCTTATACTAATACAGCCCACATCAAAACTCTATCAGAGCCGAGTTATTCGAGGAAACATCAGTCGCTCCTTCAAACTCTGACAGAGGTTGGGTTTTTTTGGGTGGGTGTGACAGATTACGCAACATTATACCTATAAAACAGATCACAAATAAAAATCAAACTTTTTTGTAAAAAAAAAAAAAAAAAAAAACAGAAAAAAGAAAACATGGATCAACAGTACCAAACATTTTCTTTACCCTCAGGAGAACGCTAACGAATCCTAAACCTATACATACAACTAGCACAGTTTGCTGAAGGTATTGCACATTTAATAAAAAAAAGAAAACATTACAATAATTCTTTACTGCGGGCTGAAGTTTACATAATGTACAAAACTAGAAGTCTGTTTGAAACCGGCAAATAGTACACTTTCAAATAAATAAATAATGGAATCTGTTATTCACACACCTTTGAAAGCTCATTCTGCAGGAGACCAAATATTCAGCCTGAGGTAGTTCATCAAAGTTGACTTGAATCAGAAGATTTGTTTAGAGAAACGAAATAAGACCACAAGAACAACAATGTTAAATAAAAAAGATAGTGTAGTGACGGAAGTAATTGAAATTGACGCCCCAGATGTCGGGCTATAAAAAGTAAGAGCACTTCTGTCAAAAATGGTTTTATTCTGATCCAGTGTTTCCCTCTAAGCTGATATCAGCTCTGGATAAATGTCTCCATCTGCCTTCCTATTAAACTACTTTTGCACTGGGTTTTAGATTTTATGGATTTCGCTCTAAGTTACCTGATAATGCCCCCCCCCCATTGCAGTTTTTTATAAACAGGTTGCATCAAATAAACACGCCGTGAGAAGCAGCCCCTTATTAAACACTAAACTTTTTCTTTGTACACAATCCATCATTTGCTAATAAGTCGCATTTTTAAAAACAAGATAATTCAATCGAAGGACTAAAACTTTCTGTTTCTCTCTGGTTTTTCCAAGATGTTTCTGCTTTTTCTGGCAAACAGAAACCTAAAGAACTGAAATTAAATCTGCTGTTAAAGGTTTCTGCACATTAAGCCGGGCGTACACTGCACCTTCTTTATGGTCCATGGGTTTATTTGATTAACGAAAAAACAAAACGCGTTTTTAGCGAATGCCAATCAATAAATAAAGTGTTTTTTACTTTTTAAATTCACCTGAAAAATCATAGGAAGCAATGTTTTAACCTCCATAAATGTTCTTAGTGGTGCGTTTGTGCTTCTTTACCTGCTGATGATCCACTAATATTAAAAAAAGACCTCGGTTTGGGTAACGGTGCTAAATATCAGCCATGCTAACATTAGCTAGTTAGCAAAGTTAGGGTAAAGAAGCTAGCTTGTTGGATATGTTTTCTATTTTCTCTGTAATAAATGGTACTTTGGAAGCAGAGTTAATGAAAAACGATTCTAAAAACATTTACAGTAAATATTGAAGCTAGCTAGGCCTTTGAAACTGATCGATATGACTGTTAGCGTAACTACTGCGTACAACGGGGCCCGTGTCGGGTTTTAATGATGCAACCCGAAGCTTTGCTTATAAATCGGCCCGCTGGTCGATCAATACTCTGTGGGAGACGGAGCCAAGCTGCAGCGGCGGGTGGACGGAGAGGCCCGTCTCGACCCTCAAAGAGAAAGTGACCTTTTCACTCAGCAGCTCTCAAACTACCATATTTTCTGGACTATAAGCCGCTACATTTTCCCCACACTTTGAACCATGCAACTTAGAGAAAGGCACAGCTTTTCTGTGGATTTTTTTCTAACTGCCAGAGGGGGGAGTCAAAGTTGGAAATGAAAGAATAGGGGGCTAATTTCATTTAGCACTAGAACATGCTAGCAGCAGGCATAACGGAGAACAAATGTCCCGAATTCACATATTTTGACATTTATTTTCCGCATTAAAGCCGCTGAACTAATGAAGAGACTGGGCTCCACTCCTGCAGAGCTGAAATAGAGAGCTGATGAAGCTCCATCTTTCAGTAGAAGCTCTCACTGCTGCGAGCTAACACGCTAACCAGAGCTAGCATTCGTTTTCATCCCTACTCCAGGGGCTATATGTAGAGCTCCCCCTACAGGTTTGGTGGGAGACAATTAAGTAGATATCAGCGGCTTACAGTCTGGATTCAAATTTCAGGTTCAAAATTTAGTGGCCATGACTTAAAATGAGGTGCTCGCTATAGTCCAGAAAATACGGTAATGCTTTGTTTCTTTCTCTGACGATTCTGTTAACTGTTCTGGTCGGAACCACTGGGTCCGAGCCGACCAACAGAAAACTCCTGATCCAATAATGCTCATTTACTCAGAAGGGTTTAGAAATGACTCCTAAAATTCAAAGATCTGATAGAAACTGTGTGTTTTTTTTTTATTCTATGTTCTGGGACTTCTTTTCACTTTGATGAAAAACCTCTGAAACGACCTGCTTAAGCTCTTCAGTTTCTACGTTAATTTTTCCATTCAAACCTGAGAGACGACGCTCTCTTGCTCAGGCCCGAAACTCAAGGAAAAAAAAAAAAAAAAAAAGGTAAAAAAATATACATTTAGGAGAAGCACACCCCCCACCACACCACACCGTGTCCTGCTGTAGTTATGGAGACACCAGTAGCCGAGCAGAATGAACACCTTCAGCAGACACAGGAACGAATCCCAAACAACAGGCACTTCACCTTTTTTAAAAACCTAAACCAAAGCCGCTCCAGAGGACGCCTTAACGCATTCCTCTGTTCGGCTGACACACAAAACACTTTCTCATTTTCCATTTCACAACAAGCCAGAGTTGCATTTCCTGCCCCTCCATGCAGCAGAACAGGCTTTGCTCCGTGACACAGGAGCACCTCCATGGATTGGAATATCACCAGAAAGTTCATGTCAATAACAAAAGTGGCTTTAGTTCCTTTTTTTAAACAAAATTGATAGATCCAAGCTGTGAATTACATCGATTATTGTTCATTTGGATGATTGTGGCTTTCAGCACATAAAAGCGGCATCAGAAATTCTATTTCTAACTCCATACTGCGGCCGATATCAATCCTCAGCAGGAGTTGAATCCACCAAAGGGACTGGACCTGTCCATTATTTTCTCATTCATCTAAAAGATGCTTTTAGTTATTGAACTTTTCTAAAACAAACATTTGGAAAGGAAAAGAAATCTATTGTGCATTTTTAATATATTGCAAATGGTAAAATGTAAAAAATACACCAAGATATACATCCATTCCATAAATATGAAAAAAACATTCCTAGATTATATCCTTGTATTATTATTATTATTATTATTACGATTGGCAAACTGGTTAAGGATTATCCACTAATAAATCCATTGGCCGATAAATCGACCGGCTGATAAGGTTACTTCAGAGGATATGTCGAACTTTTCTGCTTCGTTAGTTTGCAACAGAAGTACTTTTAAGGCTAGGCTTAAAACTTTCCTTTTTGATAAAGCTTATAGTTAGAGTGGCTCAGGTTATCCTGAGCTATCTCTATAGTTATGCTGCTATAGGCTTAGACTGCTGGAGGACATAGGGACAACGTTTTCATCATTATGCTTCATTCTGTCTCTATTCTCCCACTCTGCAGAATCTATTAGTTCAACCTCTAACGTTCGGCTCTCTTTGCTTTTTCTCATAGTAGCTTCATCTGGTCTGTTGCCTTTTGTATCTCCGATTCTTTTTCTATCTCTGCTTCTGTCTCCTTGAACCCCAGTCGGCCTCAGCAGATGGCCGCTCACACTGAGCCTGGTTCTGCTGGAGGTTTCTTCCTGTTAAAAGGGAGTTTTTCCTCTCCACTGTCGCTACAAGCATGCTTAGTGTGAGGGATTGCTGAAGAGCCAATGAGTCGATGCAATCAGCTGGTTTTCCTTATAGAAAACTTTGAATCAATTTGACTGTATGATCTTGTGAACTGTAAAATGCCTTGAGATGACTTGTGTTATAAATTGGCCGCTACACAAGTGATTTGAATTGAAAAAAATTATATATATGTATAAAAAAAAAAAGAACTACAGGTTAACTTTTTCTTCAAATAAACTTTATTTTCCCTTAATTCTATCCAGTAAGTAAGACAATGGAATAAGAGTTCTTTAGTTTAAAATAAAGATATTTCCTTTATCTTTACCTTTAAAATGCAAAATATCTTATTTGAAGGGCAAACATCCATCAGTCACGTCAGCTCATTTATTATGAAATTTTAACTTTCTGCTCCCTCTATTTACCTTCTAGCTTTAATGTTTTGTTTCCTGCAACGTTTTATCATTTTATCCTGTAAATGAAGGAAGATGAGGCGACATCAGCAGCGGCTATCAGGGGACGTTAAAATAATCTGTATCGCTCTGTTGAAATATTTCTAGAATTAATTTTTCATGATCTGTTGCTTTTAAGCCATAATCATCAAAATGAACAGAATTAAACGAATTTCTGGAACAAACAAACTGTTTTTCTGATATTCAAATCTGTTGAGATGCATCAAAAGCCCCCCACCACCCACCTCAGCTGAAGCACATCCTAGTTTCACCATCATCAACCTAACAAACCAAACTCTCCATTTCTAAAGGATCCAGTCCAGATCGGTTCCACCAAACCGGCTCCGTCCACAACTGGGACAAAGAAAAGATTTTAAAGCACTTAAAAATAACAACATATTTAGACTCTTCTAGTCTAAATATGACAAAGGAGAATCCAACAAATGTCAGCATTTGTTCTTTAAATGGGAGGTGAAAAATATTAAAATTATAAAGCGTTTGTAAAAAGTTTAACTTTACATTGTAGAAAGTAGAAGTAGCTTCTTTTTTTTAATTTTTTTTTACAATAAATCTAACTGACCTTGTCTCTAATAAATGGATGTGTCATCAGCAAATAATAAAAAACAAACAAACAAAAAAAACAATATCCATAATATTTTAGACAAAACCATCCAGGAGAAAATAATCTGGGATCCAAGGACTCACAGAATATTGGTAATAAAGATAAAACCACCATCTACGGTCAAATCTGTACAAACTTAATCTGTGAAGGTATGGCAAGCTGTCAAAGATAAAAACAGAGAAAATTACATCCGTTTATGACATTTCTCAGATCCTACCGGCGCTACAAACTGAATTCAAACCAGATCTGGTTTCTGACAAAGAAACAATATATTAGAGAAAATAAAATCTTTTGAACAAAATAATAAAAGAATCTATGGATGATTATTTTCAAAGAAAAGACAAAGATCTGTTCTTTAGAAATATTTCTTACACAGCTATCTGACTAATATGCTATACTACCAGAGACGAGCAGGAGGGGAGGAGAGAGGGAGGGACCAGCGAGGAGCCGCTGTGACCGCGGAGCAGGACCGGCGCCGGGAGGGCGGGGCCATCATCTGCAGCAGCCCACGGGGCCCGCGGCGGCGCGGGCTGTCTCCAGGCTGCTGTCCGTGTCGGTCGGGGTCGGGTCGGAGGAGACGTCGTTGGTGGAGGCGGACGAGGACGTGGAGGGGGGGTGCTGGTGGCTGCTGCTCATTGCTGCACCTGTGCTGAGAAACAGGAAGGGAGGAGGGCGGCGGTCAGTCGTCAAATAACGCCCCCTAGAGGTAGAGGGCCAAAGATGCAGCTTTGTTAACCAAACTCTTTCTTGATTTTTCTTCTGCTTTTATCTGCATTGAGCAGAAATAAAGAGACTCAGCATCAGTCCTAAATGTTGATCTTTTTAACGGTTAATCAGGTTTTTTCAGACAGGTTGTGTCTTTTCATTTTTTATTATTATTTAAACCAGTGATTGTTGAATGTCGGAATGTGGGCCGACAGATGATCATCAGCAGCGCTGATCAGGCTAATTACTATCAACTCGAACAAGTAGAACAAATAACGAAAAACTTCCAGTTATGTTGAAGGAGACGGTTTAGTAACAGAAGAAAAATGATTTTTAGTTCCTTACTGAATAGAAAAGCTGAGCAGACATAATAACTGCAGTGAAGAGGAGGAGGAAGACTGGATTCAGAAAGGAAGGAAAAAGAAATGCCAGAACAGGAAAACAAGTAAAACTAAACAGAGCTAAAGTGGAATGCAGCAGAGGAAGGTTTATATGAAAAAATAATCTGTGAAAGATTCAGTAGAAAGGTTCAAAAGAAATAAAAAACAACACACCAGAAGAAGAACACAATAAGACTCCACCAACCTATAGATGCCGGCTGTCCCCTGATGACGCCGTTCTTTGTCCTTTCCTCCCAGTCCAGCACTTCTTTATAGATTAACTCTGCATTAATGAAAGAAAAACATCATGTTCATTTAAGCCTTCGGTCAAATAAACACTTTGGTTATTTAAAACGTCCAGTTTAAATGATTTCATGTAGAAAATTATGGATAAAATGCAGATATTCTGGTAGTTCAGTGACAGAAGGGAGAATTTCAATACTAAACCAGTCTTTAGAAATCCAACAAATCAGAGACCAAGACCTGAACCATCAACTCCAATTCACAATAAAATGTGGAACGCGATCAAAAGACCTCAAATTAATTTTGGAGAAAAACTACAAATATTTCTAGACATAACGAGAACCTGCTAACCGAGAGAACCTGCTAACAGAGAGAACCTGCTAACAGAGAGAACCTGCCAACTAAGAGAACCTACCAACTAAGAGAACCTGCTAACTAAAAGGACCTGCTAACTAAAAGGACCTGCTAACTAAAAGGACCTGCTAACAGAGAGAACCTGCTAACAGAGAGAACCTGCTAACAGGGAGAACCTGCCAACTAAGAGAACCTGCCAACTAAGAGAACCTGCCAACTAAGAGAACCTGCCAACTAAGAGAACCTGCCAACTAAGAGAACCTGCCAACTAAGAGAACCTACCAACTAAGAGGACCTGCTAACTAAAAGGACCTGCTAACTAAAAGGACCTGCTAACTAAAAGGACCTGCTAACTAAAAGGACCTGCTAACTAAAAGGACCTGCTAACAGAGAGAACCTGCTAACAGAGAGAACCTGCTAACAGAGAACCTGCTAACAGAGAGAACCTGCTAACAGAGAGAACCTGCCAACTAAGAGAACCTACCAACTAAGAGAACCTGCTAACTAAAAGGACCTGCTAACTAAAAGGACCTGCTAACTAAAAGGACCTGCTAACAGAGAGAACCTGCTAACAGGGAGAACCTGCCAACTAAGAGAACCTGCCAACTAAGAGAACCTGCCAACTAAGAGAACCTACCAACTAAGAGGACCTGCTAACTAAAAGGACCTGCTAACAGAGAGAACCTGCTAACAGAGAGAACCTGCTAAGAGAGATAACCTGCTAACTAAGAGAACCTGCCAACTAAGAGAACCTGCCAACTAAGAGAACCTGCCAACTAAGAGAACCTACCAACTAGGAGGACCTGCTAACTAAAAGGACCTGCTAACTAAAAGGACCTGCTAACTAAAAGGACCTGCTAACTAAAAGGACCTGCTAACTAAAAGGACCTGCTAACTAAAAGGACCTGCTAACAGAGAGAACCTGCTAACAGAGAGAACCTGCTAACAGAGAACCTGCTAACAGAGAGAACCTGCTAACAGAGAACCTGCTAACAGAGAGAACCTGCTAACAGAGAGAACCTGCCAACTAAGAGAACCTGCTAACTAAGAGAACCTGCCAACTAAGAGAACCTGCCAACTAAGAGAACCTGCCAACTAAGAGAACCTGCTAACAGAGAGAACCTGCTAACTGAGAGAACCTGCTAACTAAGAGAACCTGCTAACTAAGAGAACCTGCTAACTAAGAGAACCTGCTAACTGAGAGAACCTGCTAACTAAGAGAACCTGCCAACTAAGAGAACCTGCCAACTAAGAGAACCTGCCAACTAAGAGAACCTACCAACTAAGAGGACCTGCTAACTAAAAGGACCTGCTAACTAAAAGGACCTGCTAACAGAGAGAACCTGCTAACAGAGAGAACCTGCTAACAGGGAGAACCTGCCAACTAAGAGAACCTGCCAACTAAGAGAACCTGCCAACTAAGAGAACCTGCCAACTAAGAGAACCTACCAACTAAGAGGACCTGCTAACTAAAAGGACCTGCTAACTAAAAGGACCTGCTAACTAAAAGGACCTGCTAACTAAAAGGACCTGCTAACTAAAAGGACCTGCTAACAGAGAGAACCTGCTAACAGAGAGAACCTGCTAACAGAGAACCTGCTAACAGAGAGAACCTGCTAACAGAGAGAACCTGCCAACTAAGAGAACCTACCAACTAAGAGAACCTGCTAACTAAAAGGACCTGCTAACTAAAAGGACCTGCTAACAGAGAGAACCTGCTAACAGGGAGAACCTGCCAACTAAGAGAACCTGCCAACTAAGAGAACCTGCCAACTAAGAGAACCTACCAACTAAGAGGACCTGCTAACTAAAAGGACCTGCTAACAGAGAGAACCTGCTAACAGAGAGAACCTGCTAAGAGAGATAACCTGCTAACTAAGAGAACCTACCAACTAAGAGAACCTGCTAACAAACATAACCTGCTAACTAAAAAAACCTGCTAACTAAAAGGACCTGCTAACTAAAAGGACCTGCTAACTAAAAGGACCTGCTAACAGAGAACCTGCTAACAGGGAGAACCTGCTAACAGGGATGACCTGTTAACCAAGAGAACCTGTTAACCAAGAGAACCTGTTAGCCAGGAGAACCTGCTAACCAGGAGAACCTGCTCACTTAGAGAACCTGCTCACTTAGAGAACCTGCTTACTTAGAGAACCTGCTTACTTAGAGAACCTGCTAACAGAGAGAACCTGCTTACTTAGAGAACCTGCTAACAGAGAGAACCTGCTAACAGAGAGAACCTGCTAACTAAGAGAACCTGCTAACTAAGAGAACCTGCCAACTAAGAGAACCTGCCAACTAAGAGAACCTGCTAACAGAGAGAACCTGCTAACTGAGAGAACCTGCTAACTAAGAGAACCTGCCAACTAAGAGAACCTGCCAACTAAGAGAACCTGCTAACTAAGAGAACCTGCTAACTGAGAGAACCTGCTAACTAAGAGAACCTGCCAACTAAGAGAACCTGCCAACTAAGAGAACCTGCTAACTAAGAGAACCTGCTAACTAAGAGAACCTGCTAACAGAGAGAACCTGCTAACAGAGAGAACCTGCCAACTGAGAGAACCTGCCAACTAAGAGAACCTGCTAACAGAGAGAACCTGCTAACTAAGAGAACCTGCCAACTAAGAGAACCTGCTAACTAGGGGTGTAAATAATAATCCTTTTGTATCGATGCATCGATCCAAAAGCCGACGATCCGATGCATCGACACGTCCGCAAGATAATCGATTCATGTTTTTTTTTTTCTCTGGTCTATTTTTATCCATTTGCTCCTGGGCGTAATTCTCCCTCCCGTGCTGCGGTGGCGCTAAACCTATTTTGCCCTCCTACCTCGCTTCCTGGTTATACTCTTACAGCAGTTTGTTGCAGCAAGCTTCACACAGACATTTTTAAATTATGCTCAGTATTGAAGCGTGGTCTGAGCTACACACTGTGGGTCTAGATACGGCCGAGGCGGTGAGGAAGTGCGGGCGAGTTTAGTCCGACAACGGAGGGACATGAGGGCCAAAAAGAGCGGAGATTCAGCTGGAAAAAGGGTCCCAGCGTTCTCGCGCACCTCGCTCATCTAGCGGGTCAAACTTCACAAGTTGTTTTCCGCAATTTCGGTCATAAAAACAGAACAAGCCGGCCTCTTGTCTGGTGCACTGTTTGCGGTCAGCTACAATCTGGGAGAGGAGCAGCGGAGCGTCTCTCAAGGTGGCGGTGACGCAATACTCTGGAGCCTTCTTCTTCTTCTTCTTTTTTTAATGGCGGTTGGCAAACAACTTATAGGTGCATTACCGCCACCATCCAGAATGGAGTATGGACCAGACAAACTATTATATTCTTCCTAAAATACCCGTTCTTCTTAGAAAATTAAAAATACTACCAAAAACTACATCCCCAGATTACCTTTGAAACAATTCCCTTATATCTAGTTTATTTTTATTCCTGTCTAACTCTCTACACAACATCTCTCTTTCCTGAGTATATTTATTACATTCTAAAAAAATATGTTGGACAGTTTCTCTGGAGCCGAGGTATTGCATTGAACTCATTACACTGATATTGTGCAGTATTTTTGCAGTATTTTTTGATGCAACTTTTCTACTTCTGTTATTTGCTGTTGTTTCTAAAGAAAATGCATAATGATATTACAGCTTTCATTGATTTATTTCAAACTTGAAACTTTGTTTAGCCTGTAAGGTGTAAAAAAAATAATAATAATAATAATAAAAATAAAAAATTAACCGATTAATCGATTAATCGAATCGAATTGAATCGTGGTGTATTCTTAAGTATCGAAAATAATCGAATCGTTGGGTCAGGAAATCGATACTGAATCGAATCGCCATGATGGATGTGATTTACACCCCTACTGCTAACAGAGAGAACCTGCTAACTAAGAGAACCTGCCAACTAAGAGAACCTGCCAACTAAGAGAACCTGCCAACAGAGAGAACCTGCTAACAGAGAGAACCTGCTAACAGAGAGAACCTGCCAACAGAGAGAACCTGCTAACAGAGAGAACCTGCTAACAGAGAGAACCTGCTAACAGAGAGAACCTGCCAACTAAGAGAACCTGCTAACAGAGAGAACCTGCTAACAGAGAGAACCTGCTAACAGAGAGAACCTGCCAACTAAGAGAACCTGCTAACAGAGAGAACCTGCTAACAGAGAGAACCTGCTAACAGAGAGAACCTGCCAACAGAGAGAACCTGCTAACAGAGAGAACCTGCTAACAGAGAGAACCTGCTAACAGAGAGAACCTGCCAACTAAGAGAACCTGCTAACAGAGAGAACCTGCTAACAGAGAGAACCTGCTAACAGAGAGAACCTGCTAACAGAGAGAACCTGCCAACTAAGAGAACCTGCTAACAGAGAGAACCTGCTAACAGAGAGAACCTGCTAACAGAAAGAATCTGCCAACTAAGAGAACCTGCCAACTAAGAGAACCTGCCAACTAAGAGAACCTGCTAGCAGAGAGAACCTGCTTACTAAAAGAACCTGCTAACTAAAAGAACCTGCTAACTAAAAGAACCTGCTAACAGAGAGAACCTGCCAACTGAGAGAACCTGCCAACTGAGAGAACCTGCCAACTGAGAGAACCTGCTAACAGAGAGAACCTGCTAACAGAGAGAACCTGCCAACTGAGAGAACCTGCTAACAGAGAGAACCTGCCAACTAAGAGAACCTGCTAACAGAGAGAACCTGCTAACAGAGAGAATCTGCCAACTAAGAGAACCTCCCAACTAAGAGAACCTGCCAACTAAGAGAACCTGCTAGCAGAGAGAACCTGCCAACTAAGAGAATCTGCCAACTAAGAGAACCTCCCAACTAAGAGAACCTGCCAACTAAGAGAACCTGCTAGCAGAGAGAACCTGCCAACTAAGAGAACCTGCCAACCGAGAGAACCTGCCAACTAAGAGAACCTGCTAACAGAGAGAACCTGCTAACAGAGAGAATCTGCCAACTAAGAGAACCTCCCAACTAAGAGAACCTGCCAACTAAGAGAACCTGCTAGCAGAGAGAACCTGCCAACTAAGAGAACCTGCCAACTAAGAGAACCTGCTAACAGAAAGAATCTGCCAACTAAGAGAACCTCCCAACTAAGAGAACCTGCCAACTAAGAGAACCTGCTAGCATAGAGAACCTGCCAACTAAGAGAACCTGCCAACTAAGAGAACCTGCTAACAGAGAGAACCTGCTAACAGAGAGAACCCGCCAACTAAGAGAACCCGCCAACTAAGAGAACCTCCCAACTAAGAGAACCTGCTAACAGAGAGAACCTGCTAACAGAGAGAACCTGCCAACTAAGAGAACCTCCCAACTAAGAGAACCTCCCAACTAAGAGAACCTCCCAACTAAGAGAACCTCCCAACTAAGAGAACCTGCCAACTAAGAGAACCTCCTAACTAAAAGAACCTGCTAACTAAAAGAACCTGCTAACTAAAAGAACCTGCTAACTAAAAGAACCTGCTAGCAGAGAGAACCTGCCAACAAAGAGAACCTGCCAACTAAGAGAACCTGCTAACTAAAATAACCTGCTAACTAAGAGAACCTGCTAACTAAAAGAACCTGCTAGCAGAGAGAACCTGCCAACAAAGAGAACCTGCCAACTAAGAGAACCTGCTAACTAAAAGGACCTGCTAACAGAGAGAATCTGCCATCTAAGAGAACCTGCTAACAAACATAACCTGCTAACTAAGAGAACCTGCTAACTAAAAGGACCTGCTAACTAAAAGGACCTGCTAACTAAAAGGACCTGCTAATATTGGTTTATGTTTTGCGTAAACATGATAAATAACCTTAAGTTTTCAAATTTCATTTTTGAAACAGTTTTTCTTCAGAATTCCTTATTTTGAAATGTGTTCTTTGCTTTCAACAACACTGTATCAAATTTCCCCCCATAGCTGTATTTTGTATTCTGTGATGAAGGCTCTGCTCTACCTTTCCACTCCTCCACCGTGTGCTCTCGCTCATCCAGCTGCTTGTCTGTGATCGCAGGCGGCGGCTGTAAAACAGACACAAACAAGGTTTTAGGTTTCAGTCAACAACAAACCACAGGATTAGCGGCTGTAAACGATCTTCTGGATGTCTGTGTCATCTGCTCCCTCCTGGTGGTGACCCTTTAAGTCTGAGATTTTGATAAGAGGGCCCTAAGATGGACCCTTAGGGAACACCACATCTGATTTCTGCCTCTGATTGGGATCTGGATCTCTAAGGAATTCAAGCATTGCTGCTTCATTAGCAGTTTATTTCTTCCACATGTTGTTCCTTTACAAATACCACATTTATTGCATACATTCATGGTTTATTGATCAACACAAATTGCGTATTGTTTAAAGGAAGAAATTCAGCCTTCTGAATTAGTTCACTGAAGCCAGCGGCCTACCAAAGCTCCACAGTTAGCATGTAGCAGACGTTAAACCAAATCATTGGCCATTTCTCAATCAGTGTACTTGTGCGTTCTCGTGTACTCGTGAAACGTCATCAGCCTCAGCCCTAGTACTGTTCCACTTCACAACAGCAGACCGAGAACGAACAAAGTCCCTGGATGTTGTTCTCGCCCCTTCCTCTTTACCCAGCGTGCATCAGAGCAGACTTGTGCGTTCTTGACACCGACAGCTGTCCCTGCATGCACTGCGGCAGCAGGAGCTTCCAGGTTAGCGCTCGCAGAGCTCAGAGTATTAAGTTAAAAGTTCTCTTTTCTGTTTCTGTTGTTCGCTAAAAGTTTTAAGATCATTTGAGGCAAGAACATTATACGTCTAAGCATCACTATATGGACCATTTACTGATTTAATGCTTAATAAAAAAAAAAATGTTCAGAAGTTGAGGACCACGGCAACCAGCGGAGCTCCGAGGGTAAAAGCAGCCAGGGACAGCGTCAGCCCATCCGTGGCGGAAAAGGGCCGGCGTCAGCCTGTCTGAAGTATCACTCGCTCCGATGGAGGTTTGATTGTTTTATTTGGCAACATGTTCATTTGATTTGTGTTTGTCTGTGTTCATTATTATTCCTCCACGAAATGAAAAAAAGTAATAATGTAATAATATCTAGAGAATATTAATAACGGGGTGAAATGCAACTCCAGATGAGCTGAGCGTGTGGTGATGTCATCAGTACGCAGTACGTCCACACTTTCCTGTGTTCTTCTCAAGAACCTACTTGGCGGGGACACGGGTCCGTAATCGCGTTCTTGTGAATTGAGAAACTGCCACAGTTTATCCTCAAGCCCCAAACCAACATTAAAGTCAGTTCCTTCTGAAACTGCCTTTAAATTATGTTTAATCTTTTTTAGCAGAAAAATTTAAATAAAAAGAGCTGATTTTCTCTCCTGTTCATGTCTCCAATGTAACTTGTTTATGTGAACTTAGCGTTAGTATTAGCGTTAGCCACAGTCCGTCTAGCGTCTCTTCAGTTGCAGGAAGCCACTTTCACTTTGGATTATTTCACAGGTTTCAACTGAAGCTCAACACAAACAGGTTTTAACTGCTTTACGTTTAAGCGTCACCATTTAGATTTCAGTTTTAATATGTAAAAAATACTTAAAGTCCCCAAAAACCTTTGTATTCACCATTTCTTGAACAAGTGTTGGTCCACTGTGTTCAAACTCGTTCAAACACTGTGCTCGTTGCTAGCACAGTGGCAATATTTGTGCAGTTATCATGGCGGAACCAGCGAGAATTTTCAAACTTGAAAATTAGAACAAAATAGTCACCTACCGCAGTAGACATGGTGATTCGTTGCGTTCGCCTGTCTGCTAAGCTCAAAACAACCGCGCCTGGCTTGACGGAGAAACCAGGAGAACAGCTGAGCATATTTACGACAGTGCACTTTTACTTTCGGTCTCTGGGGGGAGCCTCGCTGGAAAAATCAACACCGATTGCATAGTATACCTTTAAATGATTCCTCAGGTCAATATACAGCAGGGGAGGGGGCATGCTGCAGCCATTACTGGCAGGGACTAAAACATTGGACCAAAGCAACCGCAGATCGCTCACACGTTTAACCCTGAACTGAAATGTAATGTTTAAAACAACGGTGTTTGCTTGTTGTTTAAATCCAAAACATGACGAAACCAGAGGAACTTTGCGTTTGTTGGTGATATCAAGTTAGCTCGAGTCAGTTCAAGTTGTAAAACACTCCATGTGATTCTCTGCTTGTGTCTTTAGCTTTTTACCCTTTGTTTACTGTTCCTGGGTGAAATTAACTAATGTGTTGGAGTCAAACTTTAGATTCTAGGTTAAATATAACGGTTTTTTTTAAGCCCTGTTTAAAACAGGACGAGTCTAAACTCATAAGTTACTGACTAGGATCCAACTGCAGTCCTCGGCTCCAGCCTGCAGGTGCCAATCCTGCAAAGCTTTCCTCTTAGATTGTTATTTATGGAGTTAGGTGGTAAACAGAAGGTGGTTTGGAAGGAACTGGAAATGTTTAGAGGAAAACAGAAGACCCAGAAATCTGATGTCCTCAAAACAAGCAGCTTTCAGCTTAATGTAGCTACGCGTTGATCTGATCACAACAGCAACCTCCATGTTAGAGTTTGGCAGAAATGTAATGTTTAAAACAACGGTGTTTGCTTGTTGTTTAAATCCAAAACATGACGAAACCAGAGGAACTTTGCGTTTGTTGGTGATATCAAGTTAGCTCGAGTCAGTTCAAGTTGTAAAACACTCCATGTGATTCTCTGCTTGTGTCTTTAGCTTTTTACCCTTTGTTTACTGTTCCTGGGTGAAATTAACTAATGTGTTGGAGTCAAACTTTAGATTCTAGGTTAAATATAACGTTTTTTTTTTAAGCCCTGTTTAAAACAGGACGAGTCTAAACTCATAAGTTACTGACTAGGATCCAACTGCAGTCCTCGGCTCCAGCCTGCAGGTGCCAATCCTGCAAAGCTTTCCTCTTAGATTGTTATTTATGGAGTTAGGTGGTAAACAGAAGGTGGTTTGGAAGGAACTGGAAATGTTTAGAGGAAAACAGAAGACCCAGAAATCTGATGTCCTCAAAACAAGCAGCTTTCAGCTTAATGTAGCTACGCGTTGATCTGATCACAACAGCAACCTCCATGTTAGAGTTTGGCAGAAATGAATCCTTGTCCTCAGGAGTGAGGCGATAATGAGGCGTCACACCACAGCGTGGGGATAAACGCACCCGTCAAAGCTGGATGCTGAGTTCTGAGGAATCTTTTCATGACCCAGAGCAGACGGATGAAAGCAGCAATTTGCTGCCAGCCGAGTCTTTGTGTTTCTGAAGAAATTTCTGCTGTTTGTCGCTAAATTCAAAGCATTAACTTTTTTTTTTTTTAGCACAAACATTTGTTCTGACATTCAGGAAGAAAAGACAAGATGTGAAAAGTCTGAGAAGCTACAGAAAGAGTTTTAAAATCCTTATTTAAATGCAATCATTGACTTGGAATAAACGATTTTAAAAAGTACTCACTGCTTCCACTTCAGTGGGATCGTACCACACGTTAATGTAGGGGTGCTGCAGAGCCTCGTCCACAGAGATCCGCTTGGAAGCGTCTATTACCAGCATTTTGGATAGCAGATCCCTGGCTTGGCTCGCTAAATGGGATGAGAAGAATTGGGTCAGAGATCTGATGGGTTACAGCTTAGCGGGTCCAGCTTGGTCAGAGGGATTCATTTCCAGGGGAACAGAGTGATGTAGAGGTAGCAAACAAAGGAAAAAACATTTTTCAGGAGTTTTTAAAAAACTTATGGGGGGTAGGTACCTTTTAAAGCTAGTTTCCTTATTTGACACATGATCCCTCCTGGGGGAATTTAAAGAAGCTCCACGGGAGAAGCTCCCCTGGTTGGAGATGAAGGCTTTCTGAATAAATGATGGCTCTGGTTTAGGATTATTATTATTATTTTTTTGGTGTTTATTTTCCATTTGCTAACAGAACTAAACTGAACATTTTACCACTAGGTGGAGCTGTTGAGTATAAAAGAAACCCATGTGTATATGTGAAGAACTGCATACTAGGATGTAAGATAATTGCCATCATAGCTTTGTCAACCTGCTGCCTACCTTTGTGAAGCAGGAAAAAGACTAATATAAAGTGAATCCAGTAGAACTTTTTATTTCCTACTTGGAATGGGTGACAATAGTTTTGAGAGCCAAGAAACTTTTGGCTCTCAAAATGGTATCAGTGCCCTATTTGTTGGTACTCGCTGATACCACCATTTTAGTGCTGGATCAGGGCCCCTCCCAATACCGGTATCGGTGTTGAACTAATTGAAGTCCACTTTTTTTGTTACGATGGAGTATTAGGACCAGGTTAGAGATTTATTTTTTATTTTGAGAATAAAGTCGTACTATAACGAGAATAAAGTCGTAAAATTACGAGAATAAAGTCGTAATATTATGAGAATAAAGTGGTAATATTACGAGAATAAAGTCGTAATATTATGAGAATAAAGTGGTAATATTACGAGAATAAAGTCGTAATATAACGGGAATAAAGTCGTAATATTACTAAAAGAAAGACGTAAAAGTACGAGAAGCCGTAAAATTACGAGAATATAGCCGTAAAATTACGAGAATAAAGTCGTAATATTACGAGAACAAAGTCGTAAAATTACGAGAACAAAGTCGTAATATTACGAGAACAAAGTCGTAATATTACGAGAACAAAGTCGTAATATTACGAGAATATAGTCGTAATATCACGAGAATATAGTCGTAATATAATGAGAATAAAGCCATCATACATCAACCCGCTTCAGAAAGAAAGCTTGGAGCTCCGACCAGCAGATGATGGCCGACCAGCTCCACCAATCTGAATCCACTTTGACATCCTGCCCAGTTTGATGCTGCTGCTACAAGATTTCCTGATTTGTCAAACCGATGCCAAATTATACCATCACATGATGCTCTACATTCCTAATTTTAGGGAAGACAGGGCTTCTATTCTCTGACTATTCTCGCTGCGACTATAGTCTTTGAATTTAATGACTTTATACTCGTAATGTTACGACTATTCTGGAAATAGAAGAAAAACAATTCTCTAGGCTGGCCCTAATACTTCGTTGGGTTTTGTACATCAAATTCTAAACACCAACATGTATTTACCAGCTGCAGCTGAATTTTTCACAGGGGAATTTTTTGGAGGGGATGTTTCTTGCAGCTGAATTTCTTGCAGTGGAATTTTCACCAGATAAAAATTAACTGTAAGGAATTCAATGTGTAAAAATTAATATCATTAACTGGATTATAGACTGTAAAACATGCCTTTAGCTGACAGAGCGACCCACTTAGAGCAGTTATTATATCAATTAGATGTGTGTGTGTGAATGGCTGTTTGTCCAGGTCAGACAGGTCGCCTGTAGACAGCTGGAGATGGGCACCAGCAGCCCTCGTGACCCCAGCAGGGATAAGCATGACGGAAAATGGATGTATGTGTGGATGGATGACAGAAGAAAACAAAGTTTTGATAGATCACTCATGGGATTACGCATGAGAAGCTACTTTATGAAAGATCCCTTTTCTGAGATTAAATCCCAGTAAAAGGAACGTAAACATGCCTGGAACCGATAAACAGGGATGTTATTGGAGGCAAATAATTTAAAAAGGCAAATATTTTCATAATTACATAACATTATTGTCACCAAAAACTTACTTAGAATAGGTTGAATAATTTGACTGGAAGTTAATATCAAGAAAAAGATGGTAAAAATATTTTCTTAAAACCGGTGTTCTGTCAGATGAGCATACCTCATCAGACCAGCATACCCATAGTCAATACATGTGCAAGACATCAAATTTGCGTTTATTCCTTTAGCTTTTTACAAACAAACAAAATTTAAAGTACCTCAACGGGCGTGAATGTCTTTAGTCATGTAGAAAAATAAACATTTTAAGGTCAGATCGCCATACGCTTCAAATAACACCAAAAAGTAAGTCATTGTTGTTTTTTTGTACAAGACCAAAGGGATACACGCCCGTCCAGGTAGTTTAAAGTCTATTTTTCATGGAAAACTAAAGGGATAAATGGAAAATTGACGATGGGTATGTTGGTCTGACGGGGTATGTTTATCTGACAGAACACCGGTAGTGGCTGAAACTAATTTGGGCTCCATAGACAGAGCAGCCTGCGGTCGATTAACTGTGTTGAACAGATTAGCAGCTAAAGGAGGAGAACAGGGAGCTCACCTTTCAGCTTGTTGTGTTCAGAGTCTGCAGGAAACAGGACATCAGGGAAGAGCTTCTCAAAGCTGTAGCCAGCGTAGCGCGGCCGGTTCTCCACGTAGGTCCTCACCGACTGGTTGAGCTTCATGAGGAACTCCTGAGACGGCGTCCCCAGCTGCTCGATGACCTTGTTCCACTGATCAATATCTTTTATTCAAAACATTAAGAAAACTACAGGCATGGATGAGAAACCGTCTGGATTCAAATCAGTACGTAAGGCTGGTCCTACATTTCATTTCCAGCATATTTGGATCAGTTTCAGTTTTTCTGCTATGATCGCCGATAAAATACTAAAAACTTATAATTAAACCTTTTTATTCTTTAACCCTTTATAGTGTACTCAGTGAAATACTTTGAAAATCAAAATTTTAAGTTGAGTGTTGGAGGACAGGGCAAAAACCTTTTGCAATATATAAAAATAGGAATATTTTGATCTGAAAAATCAATGAACAATCACTTGCTGTAATATGCGGAAAAAAACCACAAATTCAATAAGACATTAATGAAAAACAGTCTGGAAGACTTTCACTTTATAACTTAGCGTTTTACCTTATGGAATGAACGCATTAACTTCTTTAAAATAAATTAATATTAGGCAACATATCATCCAAGGGCTCAGCTAACTTGTTAAATGCCAAAATGATGTAGTAATATCGTTGCTAAATGGCTGGATAGAAATCATGTGTTTCTGGACCTCGCTGACGGATGGGGCGGGGCTCGCTTTGTAAGGGGTATGCAAATGACCCAAAACGGTAGCTCACCCTATAAAGGGTTAAAGGAAAATGAGAATAAATTCACTGGGATTAAACCTGTGTGTCAGCTGGAGATGGAGAAGCTCACCTTTAATTGGTTTAGATGCTGGAATAAAGGAAATCAATGGGTTTGCTTTCGTTTGTGAAACAGCAGCACAAATACAAATGAAACATAAAACAGAAAAGTTTGCTGACATCTTTGTTCAACCTTTACCATAAACGAAAAGATTATCATGTGTGTGAAACATGAATACGGCTTAATTAACCACTATCAATTGAATTATGAGAACTTTTGTTACAATTAAAAAATAATAATAGTTGGTTTAGATTGATTTATTTTTAAAAATGTGTTTATCTTTTCCCTATTAGACACATAATAACATAACCAAACACTTTATTTACTCAGGTAACTTTCTAAAGCTAACCAAGAGTAGCAGGATAGCAGCTGGATAAATATGATTAGAAATAAAATCAACTAAAACAGCAACTAGTATTCAGGGTCTTTAGTTTTTTATTATAGTTTCTATCCGCCCTGAACCGGAGTTCTGTCAGACCAGCATACCTATAGTCAATACGCATGAATAAGACATCACATTTGCATTATCTACGAAAAATAGACTTTAAACTATCTCAACGGGCGCGTATCCCTTTAGTCATGTTCAACAAAAAAACTATTTAAGGTCAGATCACCATATGCTTCAAAAAACTAAGTAATTAAATTGTTTTTTTGTATATGACTAAAGGGATACATGCCCGTTTAGGTAGTTTAAAGTCTATTTTTCGTACATAACTAAAGGGATAGTTGACTATGGGTATACTGGTCTGAACGGGTATGCTCATCTGACAAAACACTGGTCGTGTTTCCATGGATTCGCAGCTGCAGTTTAAGCCCCGCCTCAAAGTTAAACTAAAGCTGAAAAAGAATTGTTTTATTTATTTAAATATTTTCTCAAAATATTTTGGAGAAGAATACAATTTGAGAAAGAAAATAAAAATAATTAAACGGAAATGTTTCTCTTAAAACCTTTTTGATTAGAAGTTTCATTTCTGGATTGCATTTTTGTCAAATTTACATTTAAACAATAATTTGTCACAATAATAATGGAACAACATCGATATTATTAGCAGAAACCTAATTTTTTCCACATTAGCCAATAGTTAGTCCACTTTAAAACATTTGCAGTGTATCTTTAAATCCAAAACGTCTACGGTTGAAGCATCTCTGGACGCTGAATCTCTACATGGCAACAAGAAAAAAACAAGCCGACAATTGGACTGTTAATGACATCAGCTGTTAAGCCGACAGATAAACTCTGTATTCCATCTGTTTTGGATTCCTGATTGAAACGCCTCATTAAGCAGACGCAGAGGTGGTCTTTGTGTGCAGAAGGTTTGAACAAGATGTCAGACAAACGCAGAGACACAACAACAGGTTCAGGGAATAAAGGGGTGGGGTTTAACTTAAGGATACGATCAGAGCCTGGAAACAACACACTACCTCGGACCATTTCAGCCATGATGCATCCAACAGACCAGACATCAACTGAAAAATGAAATGACAACCACCCAATTAGCATGCAAACTGAACATCAAAACCAGGTCCAAACAAAAAGAAGGGATAATCAGACATAAACACATGATGTAGGTGAGGGTGCAGACAATGGCTGCATGCAGCTCTGTGGATTCAACTACACAGGTCAGGGTCCCAACCAGCTTTTATCTCCTGGAAAAGTTAGCTTGATAACATGTTTCTGATGCTTATTGACTCTTAAGACGCGAGATTCTGAAATGAATGCATGCAAACATCGCTATAGAAGCTGTTTTCCCTGATTAAGCAATAAAAACCGCAGTGAGAGAAGACAGAGAGCATTAAAAACATTCAAAGTCTCTCCGAAGGAAAAGCAAAACTATTAAAATTCTGTTCAGGTCTTTCATGTGTCAGTCACTGCGCCTGGAGCGGATAGCGGCGTCTGCATCTGCGGGGACAGCAGGTGGGTGGCTGGAAGTCGCAGCGTTGAAACAAAATCAAAGCAGTGAAGTTTTAATAGCTGAATTTGACAGAAGGGGGGGAAGAAAGTAGACATGAAAGACTTAGTGCCAACTTTCTGCTGCAAGCAGCTCAAGGATACAATCCCTTCCAGGAAAAAGGATTTTGTGGCGAACCATTTCTGCCATAATGCAGCCCACAGCCCAAATATCCACTACATGTGCGCAGCGTTAAAAGACGGAGAAAAGAAGGAGCCACAAAACCAACAGGTCAGCAGGAAATGCTCAAAGACCTCGTAAATAAAACAAGATGCACTTTATATCCAAATATTTGGATTTCATATGCGACCGTTCACTGGCTGCAGTCAGGAACAGACTAATTCCTGGGAACACACGGCCTTAAAGAGAACATTGGTAAACTAGGGCTGAAACAATTTATCGGATTAATCAATTATTAGAATAATCATCAACTAATTTATTCTCCAGTTATTGATTAATCAATTAATAAAGACCGTAAAACATGCCTTTAACTGAAAGAGCAACCAACTTGGAGCAGTATTGTAGAAAAAAATATATATATATTAAGTATTTTTGCATTAAACATTAATAATATGTTTTCCTTTGTGCTCTATCAGGAACTCCTTAAGTGGAAAACATTTAGTTTCACCTGGTTTAATTTAGTAAAAACTGTTCTTTAAGGAAACTTTGGCTATTCGATTATTAAAACTGATAAAAAAAAATAGAAAAAATTACAGATTAATTGATTTAACAAAATAATTGTTTGTTGCAGCACTAATGTAAACCTACAGTTTGTTCCTCTAATGGTGAAAGCAAAGAACACGTTTATAAACGGAAATCTGAAAAAAAAAAAAAAGGAAAAGCAACAAAAATTTGATTTTATTTTTTAAATAAATCAATCAAGTTTTAAATCCTATTTTACAGTTTTCACCCTCGACACTTTTGGATGGTTTGGTCCGATAGAAACGCTGTTCCGGCCAGAAGTGGAGAGGCTGAAATCTGAAAAACGGAGAGGAAAAGAAAATCTGAAAAATAAAATGTGTTAAAAATAAAACCTTTACAAAATGGAATCTGAAAAGAAACTAAAAGGATTTTTTGTTTGTTTTTATGAACTGTATTCTTTTCTATATCCAGTATTACAGATTTCAGCCTCTATTCTTCTGGATGGAACAGCTTCTCTATTGATCCGAGGGCGAAATCCGTATAAAGAATTTAATATCAAACAATAAAATGTGTCAAAAAAAAGTTACATCTGAAAAATATTGTTAGAATAAAATTTAAAAAGAGTAAAAAATATTTATAGTTTTTCAAAGTTCTATTTTTATAATGCATCAAACGTGTTCTTTGCTTTTGAGAATACTGGAACAAATTTCTCTCCATACGAGGCTGGTGCTTTAAAGTAGGAGACAAAAATATACAGGTGCTGGTCATAAAATTAGAATATCATGAAAAAGTAGATTGATTTCAGTAATTCCATTTAAAAAGTGAAACTTGTATATTATATTCATACATTACATACAAACTCATATATTTCAGATGTTTATTTTGTTTAATTTTGATGATTACAAATGACAACAAATGAAAATCTCAAATTCATCATATCAGAAAATTAGAATATTACTGAAGACCAATAAAAACAAAGGATTTATAGAAATGTTGGCCAACTGAAAAGTATGAACATGAAAAGTATGAGCATGTACAGCACTCAGTATTTAGTTGGGCCTCCTTTGGCCTGTATTACTGCAGCAATGCGGCGTGGCATGGAGTCGATCAGTCTGTGGCACTGCTCAGGTGTTATGATAGCCCAGGTTGCTCTAATAGTGGCTTTTAGCTCTTCTGAATTGTTGGGTCTGGTGTATTGCATCTTCTTCTTCACAATACCCCATAGATTTTCTATGGGGTTAAGGTCAGGAGAGTTTGCTGGCCAATTAAGAACAGGGATACCATGGTCCTTCAACCAGGTACTGGTAGCTTTGGCACTGTGTGCAGGTGCCAAGTCCTGTTGGAAAATGAAATCTGCATCTCCAAAAAGTTGGTCAGCTGCAGGAAGCATGAAGTGCTCTAAAACTTCCTGGTATGTGGCTGCGTTGACCCTGGACCTCAGAAAACACAATGGACCAACACCAGCAGATGACATGGCACCCCAAACCATCACTGACTGTGGAAACTTTACACTGGACTTCAAGCAACGTGGATGAAGTGCCTCTCTTCTTTTCCTCCAGACTCTGGGACCTTGATTTCCAAAGGAAATGCAAAATTTACTTTCATCAGAGAACATGACTTTGGACCACTCACCAGCAGTCCAGTCCTGTTTCTCTTTAGCCCAGGCAAGACGCTTCTGACGCTGTCTGTGGTTCAAGAGTGGCTTGACACAAGGAATGCGACAGCAGAAACCCATGTCTTTCATACGTCTGTGTGTGGTGGTTCTTGAAGCACTCACTCCAGCTGCAGTCCACTCTTTGTGAATCTCCCCCACATTTTTGAATGGGTTTTGTTTCACAATCCTCTCCAGGGTGCGGTTATCTCTCTTGCTTGTACACTTTTTTCGACCACATCTTTTCCTTCCCTTCGCCTCTCTATTAATGTGCTTGGACACTGAGCTCTGTGAACAGCCAGCCTCTTTAGCGATGACCTTTTGTGTCTTGCCCTCCTTGTGCAAGGTGTCGATGGTCGTCTTTTGGACAACTGTCAAGTCAGCAGTCTTCCCCATGATTGTGTAGCCTATAGAACTAGACTGAGAGACCATTTAAAGGCTTTTGCAGGTGGTTTGAGTTAATTAGCTGATTAGAGTGTGGCACCAGGGGCCATCAATTTTGAACCTTTTCACAATATTCTAATTTTCTGATATGATGAATTTGAGATTTTCATTTGTTGTCATTTGTAATCATCAAAATTAAACAAAATAAACATCTGAAATATATGAGTTTGTATGTAATGTATGAATATAATATACAAGTTTCACTTTTTAAATGGAATTACTGAAATCAATCTACTTTTTCATGATATTCTAATTTTATGACCAGCACCTGTAAAAAGTCATTAATTACACAGTAAAAGCTTCAAGTGGAAGAAACACTTTTCAAAATATAATCTTCTGATGTATTTTATAGTTCAGATTAGGGTTCAGCAGTAGCAAACAGTAAACCGTAAACAGTAAACAACAGATAGAAAATAACGTTAAACCAATGAAGCTTTAGCGTAAAGAGAAGTCAAACGCCAACAGGAAGGGATTAAAACCAGCTGGTTCTTGTTAAGGTGAAGTGATAATTCATCCTATTTTTACTCCACTAGAATTAAAAGTTTTTTTTTTAAATAAGAAGTTATCCCATAAATCCGTCCCGTCCTCAGATTGTCTCCTCTTTGCGCTGCTAGTTAGCTAACATGGATGACCATATTTGGCAGTTCTGGGGGTTTTCCTCTTGATTTTTAAGACTGAAGCTGCATTTATCCTGATTGATCAATGACTGAAACAATCTTCAGCTAAACTGGAGACTGGATCAGTTGGAAATGTTAATTGGAGCTCACTGACTCCACAGGCTAAGCCGGGCATACACTGAATGATTTTTTTTTTGTCCTTTTCGGGCCGATTCTCCAGTCGTGCAAGAACTTTATTATTGTGTTGAATTTTACCCTGATTGTGCGTGGTGTAGTGTACAGGGGGTAACGAGGGGTGATCAGCTTCCAATGACCACCTCGCCATCACGAATCATGAGGTCGGGAGAGAATCAAACACGACAGCCGTCTTAAGGTGGTCGTGGGCAAATCGCTCAGTGGGCAAACAAGGATTCTTCTTCTTCTTCCTCTAAGATGTAAACCCAGCAGCATGGCGGGGGTGCAATGAGTGAAATGGAGTTCTTTCTGTAAAATTGACAGACTGTAGTAGCCATGTTTGCTCAGCCATGTCTTTGTCCAAATATGTCGTCTCCTTTTCTTTTTAGGGCTTTCAGCACAAAATTACACAAATTTCCAAGGCAGCGCGTTTCACTCTAGTGAGCTTCATATTCCTCTTCTACTGGTTTGGATTCCGGATAGACGATACCGAGTAGCGCCATCTCACCGCGGGGCTGAGTCCCAGCTGGTTTTTAGACGTCCAGTGTGAGCAGGTAGATCGCATCAGAGTGTCTGGTCACACAGTGAGAACAAACATCATGAGCTGGGAACTTTTAAACCCTCAGTTTGATCGTACAGTTTGAGCTGTAGCTGCGTGCAACGATTGAAAATATCGCACAGTGTATGCCCGGCTTAAAAGAATAACAGGGATTAAAGCAACAAAAACCCGAAACCTGAACTTTTTTGAGGCAAGCAACAAAGTCATGTGTGTATATAGGGGGGTGTGGAAGCATGGGATCAGAGATTGCATGACTGATTAAAGACTAAGTTGTGTTCGGTGAGTAAAGCAGAAAACGGTCAGCTATTGACGCCGGCACATCAGCCGCTGCCGTAGCTCCAAGCTAACGTTGTGTGGTCAGCAGCTTGATGACCAGGGTCTAACACCTTTTTGCTGCTGGATGCGTAAATAAGCTTCCTGGGGCACAGCATGCCGGAGTTAATAAACTACAATGTACCCACTTTATGCCATTCCGTTCTCTCCATCATCTTTCTCTACAAACACAAAGTTTCATTTTTTTATTTTTAGCTCCTTTGCTACCATTGGCTGACAAACAAAAGAGGGATTTCGTCTTTATTCATTTATTGACGATTTGAGTGATTTTTTTTTTATCCACGGACAATCGCTACGGGCTGGAAATCCGGCCTGGGGCCGGAATACTTTAATCCTTGGAATAACATACTCAAGGAGAATTTAAGCTAAAACTGCCAAGAAAACTTAAATGTTCAGCAGTCACTGTCACCGTCTTCACACGGGAAGCTCCCTGCAAAGCAAACGGCGCCCCCACATGTTAAGTCCACCCCGCCCTGAGCGTAGGGCCGAACAGCAGCTGCTAACTGCTACCTTGTCCATCACTCACCGTTGGCCTGGTAACCCATGCCCAGGATGACCTCAGGGGCGCGGTAATAACGGGTCACTACGTAGGGCGTCATGAGCAGGCCGGTGGCGGCGGTCCGGGCCAGACCGAAGTCCAGGATCTTCAGGGTGCAGTCAGACTTCACCACGATGTTACTGGGCTTCAGGTCCTGAAGGACGAAACACGACATGAGCAGGGAGGGCGGGGTTATGGCTCTGTTCTGTCAGATGAGCATACTCATAGTCAATACGCATACGCAAGACATCAGATTTGCGTTTATCCCTTTAGTTTTGTACGAAAAATAAACTTCAAACTACTTCAAAAATATAATAGTCAGATCGCTTAAGGGATCCACACCTGTTGAGGTAGTTTAAACTTGATTTTTCATACAAAATTAAAGGGATAAATTAAAGGGATAAATTAAAGGGATAAATGGGTATTGGCTCTGGGTATGCTGGTCTGACAGAACAGGCTCCATCGTTTCCAGGCCGATTCAGGCGGATGTTCAGAGCTGACTGACCGGCATGGTTGCCAGGACGACCCACCCTGTGAATGATGCCTGCGGCGTGCAGGTGTTTGATTCCACACAGCATCTGGTAGAGCAGGTAGGACAGCCTCTCATGGTCCAGCTCCATCTGGATCACCTGACAGAGGTTAGCGTCCATCAGCTCCATCACCAGATACCTGCAGGGAAACGCCTCCCGTTAGCATCAAGCATGAACTTCACATGTTGGCTTAAACCAGGCTGCTTCACACGCCGTGCCAGCTGACACGTCTTCATTCAGGTAAACAAACAACAGGGCACTAACTTCATGCACCAACTCAGCAGCATTTTACCCCTCCAGTTCCAATCAGCCGGACAGCGATACAGGAAGACAGCCTCTCTGTTTCACACTCATCACTCCATCATCACTATTCTCTCCACAGCAGTAAGACATGTTCAGTAAGACAGCTCGGCCTAAACCATGCTGCTTCCCCACAGCCGTCAGAGCCATTAATCCCTGCCGTCCCCCCTCCCACACATATCATAACCTCGCAGACACACATACATATTCCCCCCCCCACACAGCCACATTGTTCTGCACTTTGCACTGTTACATTATCTGTATTTTGCCATAATTGGACCTGCTGTTACTTCTTTGGCATTACTGAGTGCCTTTAGTTAATTTAGTTGTATATATTGTTATTATTATTATTGTGTGTTTGCTTATTTATACAGTATATATTTGACCTTTTGCACGGGAGCTGCAATGGAAATTTCGTTGAATTCTGTTCAGTGACAATAAATGCTATCTATCTATCTATCTATCTATCTATCTATCTATCTATCTATCTATCTATCTATCTATCTATCTATCTATCTATCATGTCTGAAGGGCAAGTTTACACACACCTACCACCAAACACAGACTTTACCTCATTTTGGTTACGTCAATCAAAAACCTGCTGATGCTGCATGAAGGCTAGCAGCTACAAATGACTTTAAGCTCTAACCTCCATGACTTAATCACAAGTTAAGTTCTATCAACCAGCAATAAATCAATCAAGCAGCAGAAATGAAGTCATTAGGGATGCTAATCAGCGATTAATTGATTGATCACAAGTGGATTGATTGGATCAGTTGACTTAGCAAATAAGCTACCACAACAAAACAGGAACCTAATAGTTACTGAATAGAAGAGATGAATAAAATATATGAAACTCTTCTGATTTCCAATGAGCAGAGATGCAGCTTGGCCAATAGACTCCTCTCTGTTTGTTTTCAGTCATATTTAACCACACTGTTCCACTGGAACAGGCAGCATTTTCAGTTGAAAACATCTTTACGTCCCATTTTGAACCAGGCTGGTGCACGCGCTCTGGGCCAAGCTCCATAAATTTGGAGGTGCGCGACCTAGCGCCCTGTTCAACGCGGCAAGTTTAAACCAAGCTAAAGCAGAGCAGTAAATCACAATGAATGAATTTAATATCTAAAACCATTAATCAACAACTGTAAGTCGATTATTTGTTTCCATCCCTACTAGTCGACCAGTATAAACTTTGCTGATCAGTATTGACTGATTTAGGCCCAAAAATCTTCAGATGAAAGGCCGACTTCAGCGGGAGATCTAAAGCAGCTTCCACTGGCAGATTCAGTCCAGTATGACCGTAGAGATCATGCTGAAGATCAGCACACAGTTTACAAAGCTTTTTATTTTCATTTTCTCTCTTCTGACATTTCAGAAACAAAGCTGGGATCATAAGATGGTAAAACTGGTATTTTTGCTTAAGGTTATCACACCTTCTGAATTTTATACCAACTAGAAAAGCACTAAAGACTATCACATTTATTTATTAAAAAGAACAAGCTGACAGATTAAATCAGCATTAATTAATATCAAACTGTCGTCCCGCTCAAATACGTGATACTCACACATCTTGGAACTCCTCTAGTGTCTTCTGTGGTGTGAAAACGTTTAATAGGCCGATGATCTGAGGAAACAAAACAGAGGATGAACCTTTAGGAAGAAAAAAAACAATATCTGTAAGGTTGGATTATTGTATGATGGAAATCCTTTGGGTTTACAGCTGACTTTATACATCATGTCTCCCTGAGCAGAGCCCATATCAGCAGATGATGTCTTAAAATACATACGGATACAGTCTAATTAAGCGGATGCACTGTGACGGCTGACATTTTCCAGAGTTTCCCTCAGGGTCAGCAATGTTCCATCTAAACATCTCCTCCTTTCTGCTGATTCCTGTTTGTTCATCGCCCTGGATGCTTATGGAGAGACTTTGGTTCCATTATCGTTTCAAGCAAAGTTTTGCAGAAGAAAATTTGAAAAAATAAAAATTTGTAAATAAAATTTGAAAACAAAACATGTTTTGTAAAAGGAAATGTAAAAAAAACAAAAACAAATTTATGAAATAGGAATTTGAAAAAAGGAAAAAAAATGTAATCCAGAAACTCAAATCATATTGAGAATTCAAACTTCTGAAAGTACTTTAAATATGAAATTATTCCATCCTGTTCAATAAATGATGTGTTTTTTATTTAGAGTAATTTTCATTTGAATGTGCTTTACTGGAGGCAATATTTGTTGTCAAAGAACACTACTGCCACCTACTGGTTAGTGACGTCACGGTGCGGTATCGGCTGTTGATCAAGTCCCAGTGCTGTATCTGGTGTTTGTCACAACGCGCTATTATCCAAGTCATCTTGAAAACATTCTTCTTCCAAATGTTGGCTACATATTACGTGTTTTTTCTCTGGCCAGAAGTTCGATGGCAAATCCTCCCTCTTCAAGTTGGCGATCCAACGACCAACCCGTCCGTGGAGGATCAGGAATCAGAAAGGGAAAATAACTCTTTATTTTCACTATTACCTGATGTATTCCAGCATCCAGCTGCCATGCACGTGGGCATTGTCAATTTCACTATAGCTCTGGTGAATTTCAATGGTGAAGTCCTCTGGAAATCTTCAATAATTGTTGTTGATTGCAGATGTGTCTAGTAGTTCCCATTGATTTTGCTTGTAAAGCGGGGAGAATGGCGCTAGGCTTACCGCACCGTGACGTCACTGCTGGAAGATGGCAGGAGGGAGGGGTTACTATATTTGGGCAAAAATGGCCGCTCCCAGACTCGAAAATGATTGTTTTTATTGTTTTACTGATGAATGCGAAATTCATTAAATCACTGTGAACGTTTTAGCTTAAGGTATAAATAATGATCCACTGATTATTCCTTGCTGACCGGACTTTTCCTTTATTCAAAAAGTATTGAAAACAACTTTGCAGTTTTCTTAAATCATTGCTTTTATATATTTTTAATTGCCTTTATTTTATTTTGACAAACTCTTTCTTTACATTTTTATACAGATTCTAGTTTAGTTTGGCATTCTTTTCACTTCCAGCCAATATAAAGGCTCCCTTTTGACCAATAAAATGTTGTTGCTAACATCGATGCAGACCAAGGGAAGTGCATCATTGCTTCTCACTCTACAGGAAGGCTGAAGGTTATCTGCATTTGCAAATTAAAAGAAAATATCATTTGTAAAATGTGAGAAAACAAAAAGTTACTATTATAGCCTTTTCTTTTGAGTAATCTGTTTTTTCAATTTCCATTTACAAAACTTGTTCTTTGCTTGAAACAATAATGGGACAAAGTTCACTCCATAGCTTCAGTCTGTATCTGGTGGATTATATTCTGGTAATCAGTGACATCAGTGTGGACGGTAGGAGCAGAGCCCTTACGTTCTTGTGGTTGACACATTTCATCAGCACCAGTTCTCTGTAGGCGCGTTTGGCATGGGTCTGATTCTGAAAGGGCCGGCTCAGCTTCTTGATGGCCACGTTCTTCTCCAAGTTATGGTCGTACGCCGAGCTGATGGGAGAAACACGACAAAGGAAGGAAAGCGCAGTTAAAACATTGATTTAATGTCTGAGGATCTCATCTTTTAGTTTACCTGCTGGTTCACATTTTCTTTATATGGTTGAGCAATACATGGTCTCCATACCAGTGCATAGAAAATTATAACTGCAGCCAATATTAGCCAAGTAGGTAAAATAGGGAAGAAACTATTAATTGCTTAATTGTGATTAGGACTGAAACAATCAATTATTTATTAAATTAGTAATCGAGTAATCACCGACTGGAGAATAGAGACTGTAAAACGTGCCTTTAGCTGACAGAGAAACCCACTTAGAGGAATTATATCTCAATTGTAAAAAAAAAAAAATCAATATTTTGCATTTAAGATAAAAAAAAAACGTTTTGTCCATCAATCTGCTCTATCCAGAATTCCTCAAGTCGAAAAGTTTTAGTTTCACCTCGTTTAATTCCGTAAAAAATAAAAAACTGTTCTTTAAGGAACCTTTGGATATCTGATTATTAAACAAATTAATAATCTGCAGATTAATCAATTTGTAAAATAATCCTTAGTTGCAGCCCTAATTGTGATTTTTTTTGCTTATATTTTTGGTCACATATTAAAGATATAAAACACCAAGTAACATTCTGAAGTTTTTCCTCTCCACTGTCGCTACATGCTTAGTGTGAAGGATTGCTGAAGAGTCAATAAGTCGATGAACTTAACTGGTTTTCCTTAGATAGAAAACTGAGTCAATCTGACTGTATGATCTGGTTGAACTGTACAGTGTCTTGAGACGACATGTGGTGTGAATCGGAGCTATAGAAATAAACTGAATAGAATTGTAGTTCTTTAGCTGCAGTCATATGCTAACAGTGGGGCAGAAATGAAGAGAGATGCTGGTAGAGTACAGATCTATGAGAGCAAACTTCAGACACTTTACCAGGAGTTGTGAATGTCTGTGGTTGGAGCAGAAGAAAGTGTAATTACACCTTATTATACACTTTTTACAATTAAGATAAATTAAAAAAACATTCTGTCTGTAAATATGCTTGATCCAGAAGCTTCAAACGCGTTCAACCTCTTTAAAAACTGTCATATTTGGTAACTCTGCTAACAGAAAAATAGGGGGTTTTCAGTGACGTCACTGGCCAGCTCCCGGTCCGCCATCTTGGGTGGCATATTATCCTATATCACATATATATTTTCACGAATGGATAAGTATCCCAGCACGCTAGAGCCACCAGATCATGGAACATATCTGAGGAAATGTTCCGTGATCGACCATATGGACCCCTATGCCCTCCACAGTGCCTTGTTTAGCACTAATCCAGATGATTGGCCAAATGTAGAGCACGGTGACATAGTTCATTACCCGGTGTTCAGTGAAAACCCTCTGCACACTCTTGAGGAAATGAGAGCGTACAAGGGTCTAGAGGCTCACAACCAGTTCACATGTGGTTGGGTACGAGATGTCGAAGTGATGTACATGAAGGAAATCGCCATCATACATGGATGGGTGAGTTTTAATAAGATGGTAAAAATGTAAACAATCCGACGCAGGGCTCGCTATGCTAGGTGGCTAACGGCCGGCTGTGCGCGAACAGTTCCAAAGCTACAAGTCCTTGGAGTCTCATGGGCAGTTTACGAATGGATGGGTTCAGGAGCTGCAGCTCATAAAGCCAGCAAACAGTGCTAACCGTTAGTGCTAACAACCATTCAGGCATGTAATGTACTTTTAACTAGCCGCTATGTGTTTCAAAGGTTAGTAACGTTAACTGCCAAACCTCCCTAAACCCTCCGGGTTTCTCACATATTTGAGCCTTTTCCCGCTGGTTAAATCAAGTTAAGGTGAAATTAATCAAATTAAAACGCGTAAGTAAGGAATATCCAAAAAGGAAAAATCCATCCAGTTTCAGTGAATTCAAGACCAGACACAAAAAAAAAAAAAACATTGAAAACAAAACGAACTGTGATCCACACAAATGGAGAAGCTAAAGTTTTATTTAAAAAAAAAAAAAAGAGAGAGAGAGTATCAGAGTCAAGCTAGCAGAGCTACTCCAACATGCAGCCACCTTAAGCATCACAAAAAAAGTGACTTTTCATCGACATCAAACGCCCCAAACTTACCAGACGATTCCTTGCGCTCCAGATCCAATGGGTCTGAGGTTCTGGTAGCGCTTCAAGACCGTAAAAGTTGAATCCCCCACATCTATGCTGTAATACTCCTTTTCACGCTTGTTCCGGTTCATGATGACACCTTGGTCAGACGCTGCGCCTTGGCATGCAAGAAGAGCAGGCCTCTTGAAATCTGCAGCGGGGGAGGCATACAGTTAAGGTTATTAAAAAGAAAACTTTTACAGGTAACATTATCTGCTGTTTGAGGAATTACCTGCCCCCTTATTTAGAGTACACCAATGATTATTTAACATACAACTGCAAGAATCTTTGATCATCACTTTCTAGTGGTAAAAAAAAAAAAAAAAAAGTTATGACTTTTCTTTCCATCAACCAGTCACTAAAGAAGAGCACTGACCGGCTGATTCACCAGGTAACATCGGTTTGTTAGACTCTTTTCTCAATAAAGGTGAGGTTGCCAAACCCAAGGACTATTAATTGTGTTTTCAATATAATCCTGATTTAAAAACTTCCAACTGTCAGAGGCTCTTAATAATTTGTTGCGTTACATTTTAATGAGAGGAAGACATAATTTCTCCCTCCACGCCTTCAGGTGGCGGTAATGGGTTTTAAGTGGGTTTGTTGTCACAATGAAGTGAATGAAGAGATGCAGCTAATATCCAGATCCATGCATGCAGGCTAGAAGTATGTACTTTTTCACTCCAAGTCGGTTCTTTTACAACATTTGGTGAAATAAAAAGACAAAAAGCACAACTATACATTTCAACATTCTGCCCAGTAGCAAGTCAAAAAATATATTTTGCACTGCTTGTTTAGTATCTAAGCGTTAGTCTTGATATAAAAACCAAAAAGACATCCAGTAGATGCTAACATGTCATAGCTATTATAATCAATGGTCGTTTCTCAATCTGTGTCCTTGTGCGTTCTTGTGTCCTCGTGAAATTTCATCAGCCTCAGCCCTAGTACTCTTCCAATTCACAAGAACAAGAAGACAGAGAACGGACAAAGTCCCCAGACGTTGTTCTCACCCCTCCCTCTTTTCCCAGCATGCATCAGAGCAGACTTGTCCGTTCTCCAGACTGACAGCTGTCCCAGCATGCACTGCGGCAGCAGCAGCTTCCAGGTAAGTTTTAAGATCATTTGAGGCGAGAACATAGCATAGCCGTGAGTGAAGTCCAGCTGGCTCTGATGGCGAGTTTTTAGTTTTATTTGGCATAATGTTCATTTGATTTAAAGAACATGCTTGGCGAGAACACGACTCTGTACTCGCGTTCTTGTGAACTGAGAAACGGCCTATATGTTCCATATTTCATTAGTTGGTATAACTAATGTTTTATTAATAAATATAAGCAGTCAGAACGTGTGATTTTTCATATTCACACCATGGAACAAGGTTATCTTTTTCTCAAGCTAACCTTGCCATGAAGTTCTTATCCCACCAAATGTCCAGAATAAAAAGCATATTTCCATCCTTCACTTTGATTTAAAAATGATGTGCCTTCAGTGACACGAGCATAATGATAATTTTGAACAATTATGGAAAGAACTTTTATAATTTCAGTCCATTTTGGGACGCTTTGTTCTTCCCTGCTGCTCTCCACTATCACGTAATGAATATTTGTATAAAGCATGCATGGCCTTACAGATCACTATCATTTCTATATTCCTCAGAACATAAGAGAACCATGTGACAATAAAGAAAACTGAGCATCTCCAAACGTTACCTAAACATCTCCTCTGGGCCCCTCCTCTTGTCGTAAAATTAATTTTACTACAATCATCTTTAAATTGAACCAGAAATTAATTTCAACTGACCAACTACGTCTTGCTGTTCAAAACATATATGAAACTTTACCCAGTGGGGTAAAAGGTACATTAATTAACAACTTTACTATTGTTAAAATCAAACACGCATTAACATTAGGGTGATTTATACAGGCTTGAACTAAAATATAAATCAACTTATCAGGTAATCCAGAGCTATTTCTACAGTTATGCTGCTATAGGCATAGGCTCATGGAGGACATAGGGACCACTTTCCCTCACTCTACTTCATTCTACAATTCTCTAGCTTTCCTTAGAGCAGCAGACCACTATAGCAGCTTCACAGGCAGTAAGAAGCTGACAGTGTTGATTTTTTAAAATGAAGTATATTTTCCAGGCGTAAACTGAACATGAAATATGTAAACACAGCTAGTGCTCCTACAACTCCATTCCCACTTTATTAGATTTATTAATCAATTATTGGGAACACTGTTATAATGTGTTATAATTCCATTAACTACTTGTGTGATGTTTTGGGTTTTGTTGACTCTGAAGCAAAAGAAACACGGAAAACCACAAAGTATACAAAAACCTGTTCTACAAGCCGAGTCCCGGCTCCTGCTGTGTGAAAGGTATGTGGTTCCAGGTTCTGGGTCAGTAGCTAAGAAACCCAAACATCATTAATAACAGGTTATTGTAAGACAGTAAACAGAACAGAAGATCCTTTTAATTGCAAAGTAAACCTACTTAATCTAAGAACTTTAAAGCTCAATTAACTCTTTTCTTTGCCTCTTCATCTTGTTTATGCAGTTATTTTAGAAGCCTCACTAATCTGTAATCAATTAAAAAAAGTGCCCCAAGTTTTTATTAATATATTATATTTGCTTCTCAGCCTTATTCTTAAAAACATTCTTGCACAGAGCCGGACTGAACCCACTGTGGGTCGAGAAGGGATCATGTTTTCCAAATGCATTCATATGAAAAAGCCAATATGAGGAGGAAGACACAGACAGAGAACACGCATAGCTTTAGCTTTTGTTTCAAAAGATGTTTGACTTGACTTTAAAAGCAGAAACTCCTGCTGACTGTTTTCAGCTGACTAATTGCTGAGCTAATGCTAAATAGCATCCACTGTTTTGATACGACCTGTTGACAATTGTCCTTACAGACGTATTGATACGATTCAGCAGACAGCTTCTTTCAACAGGCCTATATTGGAGATTTTAGATGCAAACTGCTATATTCTGACACTAGCTAGCTTTTTTGGCTAATATCTAAACAATTTTCTGACGTCAAAACTGGACTGGAACATCCCTACGTCGGTTATAAACATTTCACTGGAAATTCAGGTAACCGCGTTTGGAAAAAGATAACATGTTTTTTTCAAATTTAGTTTACAACAAAATGAATTTCAGCTGCTTTTTCTTAGCCGTCTGTGAAACAGAAAGCTATCGAGTGAGAGCGTGCAAAACTGGTCACATGACACGGACCGACAGGAAGCAGCACTAGCCGATAAAAGAACAATGAACCATAATCTTTTTATTTCCTATGGAAAATTTCTTGTTGCGTTTTACTGCTGGTGTAAAGGTGTTTTTTTCCCCCCAGGATGAAAATCCGTGTCAGCAGATCAGACCCGTGAGAAAACGAATAAATCGATACTGAAAGTCTGAACCATGAAGTCCTGTAATCTGTTGCAATATCAGTTAAACCAGAAATTTGAGGGGAAACAAACAAAGCTTCATGCTTCCAGTTTTAGTTTTAAAAGAGAAATAAGTCAGCCAAAGAACATGTCAGACAAGCAGAGTTTTAAGGGTTTAATATTTTGAGGCCTCGGCTAGATCCCATCTCTTCTTTGGAGATTAAACTACTCCTTGACGAGAATTGTTGGAAATATAATCAATCCTACATGTGCAAATGCAAGCCTCATCCTATTGGCTCAATTAAAGTGTTCACTCACCGGCAAAAAGTACTAAATTCAAAGGACAGAAAATCAACCCGGCCAAGCATGCAATCCAAAAGAGATCCGCATCAATTATAGAGATTACTGCGCCTCCAAACCATGGTATGATATAACCCTGAAGAGCTGCACATGCAGTCTACATGAAACCTAAACGCTGCAGCAGGGATCCAGGCAGGGGCAGAGAGGAAGCAGGAAGCAGGGATGACAAATCATTAGCAGGATTTGGAGCGTTGAACTGAAAACGTATAGGCATGCAGTGGAGTCTGACCCCACCCCTTCCCTTTTAACATCAGTTAGCCTACAGAAGGCTTTTCCTCTTCTCCCAGCCCTCTATTCATAGGTGCCCACTTCTTTAGTTGTTTTTCCTTTCTTGTGGAGCATGGACCCGTTCATCTGAACCCCTGCCAACCCTGGGAGCAGCTCAGACAGGAAGTGAGCAGGAAAAAAGCTCCAAAACCATTAAAATTAGACAACTTTTACTCATTTGATTCAACTCAACAATATTTTCATTATCCTAAAGGGTAATTAAGGTTAATGCTGCTGTAGCTACGTTTGTTGTAGATAGCTTTAACGTTGAAGAAGTCTTTGAAGACTCTGTTGTTCCACATCGAAAATTAATTTTCTCAGTCCTAACTAGTCCAGCACAAAGATTACTGCAAATGATGGCAGCAGAAGCAGCCAAGAGGTCCATAGTAGCTCTGTAGGAGATGCAGAGAGCCACAGCTCAGGTGGAAAAAAAATCCATTTGGCATTGATTGGAGAGAGGGAAAAAGATGAGCTTTAACCCTTTATATGCCACTCCGTGAAATACTTTTATAATCAGCATTTCAAGCCAATAGTGTTCTTGGAATCCTGAACAAGACTTTATTACTTTTGTAACATTAAAAAATATCGATATTTTGATGGCAAAAATTATTATCAATGTAATAACAAGAAACGCCAACTTGCCTAAATATATTCATAAAAAAAGTGATTCTATAAGAAATTCATGAATAACACTACACAACATAACCTTAGATTAGAGGTCACAGATTAGCGGACCAGGGTCCAGATCCTGACCCAACCTGATTAAAAACATTCATAAATTACTGCATGTTGTCTGACAACAGTGTCTAACTTCACTTGCGTCGCTTCTCCTGTTAATACGGTAAAGCCCTCCGGATATGAAGGACCAACTCTGCCATATTTAAAAATAAATACAGAAATAAATAAATGCTCAATAAATGTATAAGCATACAATTAATTGCCAACAAAAAAGTGAGACATAAATGTATATAACTGTTAATTAGCTTCTTTATTTATTTGCCTTTGTAATATTTACCTTATTTATTTTTCTGTCCTTTATAATCTTCAACTTTATTTTTTAATTACTTATATTTTTAAGTATTTATTTATGTGCATGTTATTATATTTTTGTCTGTTTTATTCTTCCTTTGTATTTTTTTACC